GAATCGGTGAAATTGAATATGTGGATGGCGTTTGTGGCCGGTTTATTTTAAGTTTAGCGATTCTGTTTTCTACTCTTTCTCGGTGACGATGATAATGTTCTTCGAATCGTTGAAGATTCGTTGCTGTTTACTATTCTGTTTGTGACCGTGTATGACCTTGCTGTTTGTGACTATTGCTGTTTACTATTCTACTTTCCACAAACACTTAGAAAGTCAGAAGACACCAAGAGCTAAAACATTGATACAGAAAGCACCAGCCATACACTAACAAAGAAAGCATAGAGTCAGAGACAGAAAGAGCGAAGTGAGATTGTTCATTGGGGTTGCTTCCTGACTTTTTTCACGGGCGGAGCTGCGCTGGCTGCACCTGCTTGTATTATAAAACAGATTAGCAGTGGTTAAAGGATTATTGATCAGCAATAGAATTGTCGTCAAAACACTCAGTAAACCCAACCATCCCACATTATGCACTTATGATGGTTGATAATCATATCTTTTTCAACTGCTCAAAATTCACTCCGTAGATAAGTTACCATGTTTCTGGAGTTCAATCTCTTTCTTCACGTGTTCACAATTTTTTTTATTATTATTATTATTTTTTTCCGAGTCCATGGTGTAGTAGAGGGCGGAGGCCAGTCCTCAGGAGGTCCCCATGGTACTCATCCATTGGGAGGTCAGATAAGTTGCTAGGCTCCCCGGGGGAGAGTCACCTCACCTCAAGGTGACATCACAATGACATGACCTATACTAGTGCTCAGATCGCGAGCCGTGATCTGCACCAATGCTTACCGGACTGACCCGAACGTCTTCGTGCAGACACTACCCTGACTCTAATGCCAATGACAACCCGGGAAGAGGTGGGGTCTTCACGATGTGGTCATCCCCCATCTTGCCTCGCGATGTGGTCATCCCCCATCTGTGCCTCGTCCCACAGATTCTTGTAGGCAGCGAACCACCCTACCTTTCAACTAAGGTGCGATATCCCGCCTTCCCGCCCTATTTATGATGCCGACCTATCCCAGGCTCCCCTTGAGGGCCCTAATCCAGCTGATTCCCCCATTGAGTATTCCCAACGGACACCACTCTGGATGAAGTGCCATCTCACAGGTATCAGATGGTACCTGCAGGATCAAGAATGTCCGGCACACTACCCCATACTAACACCCTGTGTGTGCGTAGCATTTTTACCCTTATTTGCATCCCACGGTAGTCAGGTCGTGCTATGTGTGCACTATTGCCGGGAAACATGGATTCATAGCCAGATTCTACCATGGCACCCCACAAACTAGTACAGACTGGCGAGACTGACAATTCGGAGGGTCCCGAATTGCACACAGTGGGTACCTATTGTTCCAGAGTTCCCGTTGATGTATAGAGGGCCGAGGGCCCTACCATCGACCCTATCGTTATGAAATCCTGGCAGTCCCAATGGTAAATCTCCCCTAGCCCCCCCCAACTAATCCCTCCCCTAGGACCCTAAACCTAATCCCCCCCCTCCTCTTCCCCATGGGAAGTACATGAGCGCAACCCCACTCATCAGACCCAACCAATAGACAAAGTACTCAAGCAGCCCTCCTGAGGCCCGCTACCAGCATACTACAACCATGGACTGGACCCCTTGGGCGGTGCGCAGGCAGCATCTGTATAAACTTACCATGCGTCATCCCAAGGGGGGGGGGGGGCGAATGGCTGGGCGCTCACACTTTCAGTATATAGAGTTTGTAATTGATGCTCTCCATGTGAATTGGCCATTTAATAGTAACATCTTGCCCCAAACTGTTTTTAATGTTTCTTTGACTTGAAAAATAGTGGCCGTATGGTGTTAATTTGAAACAATTGGCCGATATTACTTGCTGAGATGACCGTAGAACTCAGAGATGGGATGGCCATAGCTTCTGCGTTGATTTGTTTGTGCGATTGAGCCATGTTTTTTTTTTTTTTATCTCATCTCTGTTCTGTTGGGCAGATGAGGACGGCGATAAATCTTGACAGCTGGGTCCCAACGTGAGACCGACGACTCCGAACTTCTACACCCTTCGATGGGTCTGGCCACTGTCCCTCCATTTCCCATCGAAGTGTGCGTTTCTTTTCTGGAGGACTCCAATTTTTTTCTCGAGTCCTCTTGGAGGAATCTCTCCTGTAGCTCTCCATCACTTTGTTTCCAGTTTCATATGGAAAGTTGGTGGAGTGGGGAGGCTCCCTTTAATACTTTTGGCTTTTGGAAGTCTTTTTGTAGGATATTTGGCCAAAGATATGATGATTGATTGGGTTCGGTAACTCATTTTTGGGCAAATTCTATTTTCATACCACCAAAAACCGAAATTATGTTTTCGTCAGAATTTGCCACTCCAAGAATGATGAAACTAATACCCACTGTAGAAGAAGTCAAAATAGACCGGTGGAGCGAAACCCAAAATTTGAGATGCACATGGCTAGGGCACCTCGTGCTGCGCACCAAGTAGTGGTCATCGCGTCGTGTCCCAAAAATCAGTGGTGTTGCTCGGGGTACTTTGTGTTCAAGGGTGTATCTGTGCTGCTAGCTTTCATCGTTTTTTTAACTTTTTTTTCTTTTTCTTGCCTATTTTTCATCCTTTTCTTTTTCCCTTTGTTTGTTTTCAGTCTTATCTGTCACCGTATCGCCAGCGTTCATTCTTTTTTTTTTTTTTGTGGTTAGCATAGTTGCGGCACACCAGTGCGCAGTGCGGGGCAGGGCGGGGCGCACTGCGCTGTGCGCTGGAACGACAGCACGCGCACTGTGCGCCGTGCGCGGTGCGCGCGCTGAGGGAGTCGCGCACTGTGTGCAAAAAAAAAAAAAAGAAAAAAAAAAGAAAAAAAAAAGAAAAAAAAAGAAAGAAAGATAGGCGCAGAGAGAGAGAGAGAGAGAGAGAGAGAGAGAGAGAGAGAGAGAGAGAGAGAGAGAGAGAGAGAGAGAGAGAGAGAGAGA